CTCCAGGATGAATCTGTTTGTTTTCCTAGCAGTCCATGGTACATTCAATACTCTTCTCCAGCACCACAGCTCAAAGGCATCAATTCTCCTTCTATCTTCCCTAGTCTTTTTCCAACTCTGTAATGCATAACAAGTGATAGCAAAGACCATGGCCTGTATCAGACGCACCTTAGTCTCCAGAGAGACAATAGTATATAATATTTCTCAATTGTTGTTATGGGCAGTTGAGTTGCAACTGTCTCGTAACTGACCCCTCCAGCAGATTTTAAAGGCTCTAAATTACACAGGGGAGGTTGCCCTTTTTTTTTTTCAGAGGGTGGTTGGTGGATTTAAACCAAGTGCTTTTGGGTTGGCAGCACAATTCCTGACCACTAGATAACCAGAGTTTCATATCTATATTATATAATCAAAACAATGAAGTGGACATTAATATTATTTCCATTCAACAGACATAAATATTGAGAAATGGAAGTAATTTGTCTAAGTTACTATAGCCAATTACTGGCAATTTGAGCTAAAGAAAACTGCTTCAAAAATCTACTGTTGGATGCACTGTAAGTACCACTATTATAAGACTAATGTCCACCATAGATTCTATAATATATATCATAACAAAAATTCCCTAAGATGAAGCAATATTCACTAAAAGATCACAGACTGCATATGAAAACAGACTCAGTTTCAGGGATAATTTCATATAGTCTTTTTTCCCCTTTCTTTTCTCACTAAAGTATTTTATATTTTAAACGATGACAATGATATCATTCTATGATCTAAGAATCAATATATGTTAAGTTGCACATTAGAAGGGATATTATAGTAAGAGAATCTGTCTATGTGCTTGGGGAGCTGAGTGGCTTTGATAGACCAATTTTATAAAATCATATCCACATAAAAATTTCCTGGGAATTAAGTAGACTATTTGGTCCACAATTCAAAGTCCAGAGCAATTTTCAACCATGAAAGTCTTTTGGATTTAGATCTTTAAAAACTTTGAAGACCCCTTGGTCACCTTGCGGGATAGAGGTTATATTGGTGTCGGCAATGCGGATATAGGAGAGTTTCTTCATTCCTTGGAAGGCTCCATTTTCAATTCCTGAGCTCTTCAGTGGGTTGGTCCCCAGTTCTGCAAATACAAAAATAAAACTATTTTAGAGGATAATAGTCAGGTAACACAAGTAAGAACAATAAATCTAACCAACATTTGGGTCTGGCATAATTTAAAAGTAGAAGGAAAAATGAGAGCTATATATCTTACAGGAATAAAAAATAAAAATTCCTCATGTGAATACCAACACACGAAGGAAAAGAAGAGCAAAAATGTCCATCAAACACTTTTACATATATATGTAAGTTTGCCCAGAAATTAACAGAAAGTTCTCAAATTGTATCTTTTGTCAGCAGGATTTACTTTACTAAATTGTTTTAAAATGCTGTTAGAATTGTACCTAGGATTTTTTTAAAGCCAGTTATAAAATTACATGTTTACTACATGTATCTATGAACTTTAATAAATGTTGATAGTTGTAGAGGTGATTCAAGCCTTTTGTTCATAGGGTCTCTATGAGTCGTGCTTGACTCAAAGGAAATCAACAACAATATATAGCAAACCATTATACCATTAGTAGAGTAAATTCTCACAATGGAAAAGTAACCCCACTCAAAGCACAATTCCATGCTGGGTTTAACATGCTAGAAAGATAACTTCAGATCTAGATTTATCTGTCTTTCCTGTGACTGTCAAGGAGAAGGAACAAAAATATAAATGGAGTTGACAGAATCCAAATATCTTATCTCCATGATTTCTTGGGGACATTCTCATAGGCATAAGAGTCAATGTTATGTGCTATCGAGTCATACCTAAATCTCATGGGAGAAGAGTATCTGTCTTACTCCCAATAAGCTCCTCAGCCACTGCACCAGCAGAGCTCCAAGGCATACTTGTTCTTATTTACCCCTGCGTTAGAACCAACTCAGAGCTGGTCCTCCAGATGGTTTTCATAGGCAATAAGTCACTCTGGATGAGCCTGCCCGTTTTTCTTTCAGGAAGCAGCTGGTGGGTTCAAATCATACACCTTCAGGTTACCATTGCAACTCCCTTCCACGAAGCACCAAGGTCCATAGGCTACAGCTAATTTACCTTTCTGAAGGGAAAACATTTTAATGAGAAAACTGCATCCCTGTCACGTAATACTAAGAACCTCTTTACCTATGACAATCATCTGGTTCAGTCCATTGAAGACATTTTTTCGAATTTTCGTGATTTCATTCTCATGCGCACGCAGCTCCTGAAGAGTTTTGGGCATTTTTTCCGGCAATTCCTTGAGCTGGTTCTTGGACAGATAAAGTCGTTCCAATTTCACTAAAGGTGCAAAGGCTCCGGGACTGATTTTGCTAATTTTGTTGTTGACAAGGATCAATGCCTGTAGATTGAAATAAAAATATCTCCTTAAACCCAAAACTAGCCACAAATTCATAATAAGCACTTAGATTAATCATTCCATTCATGAGACTAGCAAGGGAATAAAAACATTCTAAAAAATAAAAAAACCCACAAAAAATAGAGGTGATTTCTTTACATATATATGCTGCATTGAAAAACAAGGAACACATGAATTACTATACAAAATTATTATTATACATAATGACTCTGGAGGACATTATGCTGAGAGAAATAACTCAGTCACAAAAGGACAAATACTGCATAGTGTAACTGCTATAAAGTGGGACTGACATTGGGGTTGGGGGAGAAACTAAGAAGAGGGGATAAATAATGTATACTGCATTGAAACAGATGAGGGAGAGAACTGTTTAAAAGGGATATATGATTAGGCATTATTGTCACAACAAGACTCCGGAATGAAAGCTGCATAGTGGAGTGGACTGGGGACAGAGGATTGTACAACAATGAAAGATATTTTTTCTTCTTTTCAAAGAGAAAAGTGAACTGGGGGGAGGGGTGGGCAGGGAGGAAAGCGCAACAATGAGTGAATGGAAATCAAAAGTCTCTGTAAAGTTTCATTAAAATTAGTAATAAAAAAAGATGTGTATAACATTAAGCCTTGATAATTACAAAGACAGGGAAATAATTGGGATGATATATCTCTGTATCGCTATATCATCTATATATCTATATATCTATATATCTATATATATACAGCTCAACATAAATAATCCTGAAAATGAAAATTACTACAGTATTTCACTATCTCTTAGAAGAATATAGTGGCACAGCATCCATTCCTTAGTCAACTAGCACCATACAATTTACTTCTCATTCACTGGTGTCATGGATTATACCACAGCAAAAGCAATGCCAGTTCATATGTTCATTAGCCATTCAAGAGAGAGCTCTGATAGCCTTACACATGGGAAAGAGTTTCTTTGCCAACCTGAAGGAAGGTAGTTCAACTCCACCAACTGCTCCACTGAAGGAAAATGGGCAAGCTTCTGTATAATTTATAGCCTCTGAAAATCTACTAGAGTTCAAGAATAAAAAGTAGGTTTAACTCAAAGGCACACAACAAGAAGCAAAACAAGAGAGCAAACTTTTCCTATTGTAGTTATGTAATATTGAATGGAACCAGCTCATAGATTACCCTATCATGAGTCCTAAAGGCATAATTTGCATGGGAGGAGATTGTACATCTTTCTTCCACAGAGAAGCTCTTGGATTTGAACTGCCTATCTTTGGGTCAGCAGCACATCTTCTTTCCTCTAAGTCGTCAGAATTCAAAATTTCCCTACAACCTTAAAAAATTTGACATATGCTTTGATAATGACGATTGATTCTATTACAGGTCACTACTGACTAGGTTTGTCCTTATCATTTTCAGTCAAATGAACTTTCCTATCATTTATAAGATGCTGGTGAAGGAAGAAGATTTTCAAATCACAATACTTTCCAGTTGTTGTTTCTTTAAAAAGTATTAAAGTATACACAACAAAATTCATGTTGATATGACAATTTTTATGTGCATTATTAGTGCCCTCTTCAGCTTATATACCTGTTTTCAGTATGATTTTTTTTCATATTATCTCATTATTACGAGGTTTACTGTCCCGTCAACTTCTCATCTACATCATACTCAGATCTACAATCAACACTTTGGCACCAGCAGTCAGAAAACCAAAATAAAATTTGCACTGGGAAAATCTATTGTTAAGGATCTCTTCAGATGTTAAAAAGAAATAGTATCGGTCATCTAGAGACAAAAGTTCACCTGACCCAAGCCATGCCAAAATCTTCATAATTACTTGCTAAGCATCAGAGAGCTGGACAGTAACTAAGTATGACATAAAAAGAATCAATGCCTTTGAGTTGCGGTGCTGGAGAAGAGTAATAACATACCAAAGATTGCCAAGAGATCTGTCTGGGAGGGGGTGAAAGTGGTTTGCTCCTTAGAGGCAAGGATTTTGACATGCCATCTCACATACTTTGAGCATGTTGCCAGGAGGAAACGATTCCTTAGAGAGGGACACCATGCTTGGAAGGGTAGATGGTCAGCACAGAAGAGGAAGATCTTGGATAAGATGGATTGACACAATGACTATGGCAATGGGATCAGGTGCACCAGAGTAAGTGATTACGGCTCAGGATAGGATAAGGTTCAGAGCTTTTGTTCATAGGGTCTTATGGATCACAATCAACTTACAACGTCTCTTCTAATCTTTCAAACTATTGCTAATTTATCATATTTAAATGATGTGTTTAAGAGTACATTAGTCAAGGTAAGCATGCTTTTCTGATTAACCTAAACTACCATTTCAGTAGGGAACTCTAATAATGCAGATCATAGAGAGTTGCTAATTCCAAGGTTGCACAACTCCATTGGTTGAAATTTATCAGTGGCTCTAAGAGAATTGCTGTTGAGAACCATCAAGTTAGGATCAAGTCAAAGCTGACCCACCAAGGTTTGAAGAGGCTACAGTACATCAGAGGAGAGAAGACTGTCCATCTTTCATACACAGATCAGATGGTGGATTTGAACTGCATGCCCTTTGGATGGCAGTACAATTCCTTACCACTAATCCACCAGAGCTTCCTCAGTCTGTTCCAGTTCACTGGCAGGGATCATGCTGGTTTTTATTATCTTTAATTTACCTCATGGAGTAATCCTAAGGCATTCTGGATCAGTTTGTCAAGATCTAAGAGCTTTTATTTTCAATTGCAGTACAACTTTGTAATGTATATAAGAATGTAGAAATACAAACAGAGAATGGAAAATCAGGGCAGTGAGACCTGACAATCTTATAAAGCACGTGTTTTCTGAGGATACTACTCATTGCTTTTGAACCGAAAATCTTCCACTGAGGCTTTAAATCACGTGGGAGGAGATTGACTATATTTCTGCCTAAAGCTGCTGGTGGATTCGAACCATCAGAGAGGCCTGGCCTTTGAGGCATGGTCTTTTGTTTAGTATCACAACTCCCTATGGACTACATCACCAGAGCCTCTCTTTCCTGATAATTGATAGCAATTGATAAACTGTCCTATGTACATTCTCAACTAGAGATTAAAAACTTAATTCAAATAACATTCTCACTACCTCTAGATGTGTCAAGGATATGTGGTGACCTAGAAGAAAGGGGATATGTTGCCACCCTAAAGGCATGCAGTTGGAATCCACCAGGCGCTCCTTGAGAGAAAGGGGAGAGATCTCCGATATGATTTTATGCCTCTGAAAACCTGCTGGAGAGTCGGCTATGAGTTGGTTTTGACTCAAAGGTTAAAAAAAAAACAAAAAAAAAAAAAAAAAAAAAATCCCCAACTAGATGCGTTAGTTGATGAATACAAAACCCTCAGAAATTTCAATGTATAGCAAAGAGAAGGGAGCTTTGGTGGCCTAGTGGCAAGAAGCTGCACTGCAATCCCGAAGGCACACTGTTTGAGGCCCCCTGCTGCTCTGCAGGAGATGGATGGGCAATCTCCTCCGCTGTGATTAACAGCCTCTGAAAACCCACCAGAGGCTCAGCTATGGGTCGGTTCAGACTCTATGATACATGACGACAACATTAGAGAGAGCAGAAAACATATATAGAAGTTAAGGTTATAGAACATTGACATTAGCAGGGACACAAAAAGAAAGCGCGGAATAAACTCCTTAGTCAGAATAGAGAATGGTTGCAGTGCTGGTATCATTAGTAGATCTTAATAATGGTGCAAAGTAGTTCCTCAATTGCCACTTATGGAGGAAAGTCTGAAAGCTCACTGATACAATTAAACATATCAAATGTGCCCTAAATATCTACTTTATGTTAAATATTGAAGCTCAGCTTTGTTAATATTGTTGTTGTTGTGTGCCATCGAGTTGCTTGCAACTCATAGCGACCCTATGTACAACATCCCTGAACTCTGCTCTGTCCTGGGCCAATCGCACCGTCTCCGACACAGCCATCCCGGTTATCCCAGTTACTGAATCAATCCACCTTATAGGGGGCCTTCCCCTTCTGCGCTGTCCCTCCACCCTACAAAGCATGATGTCCCTCTCCAAGGACCTGTCCCTCCTTGCAACATGTCCAAAGTATGTTAGTCGGAGCCTTAGAATCCTTGCCTCCAAGGAGCAGCCTGGTTTGACCCTTTCCAGGATGAATCTGTTTGTTTTCCTAGCAGTCCATGGTACCCTCAATACTCTTCTCCGGCACCACATTATGCAATTATTTAAGTAGAACATGCACTGTGCCATGTATTGTTCTTAATATTGGTTACTTAATATTGCTCATAATATTGGTCACTTTTGCATTTGTAGACCATGGTTGTTAATGCACAAGCAAGCTGATCGGATTTTGATTTTGAGTTTTGATATTTGCTATGTAACTAAGAGCAAGTAATTTCACCTCTTTGCATCTAACTTTTACCTCGGTAAAAAATAGAAATTATGAATATCTACCTCACCAGAGCCTCTCTTTCCTGAGCATAGCAATTGGTAAACTGTCCTATGTATATTTTCAACTAGAGATTAAAAATTTATTTCAAGTAACATTCCCACTGCCTCTAGCTGTGTAAAGGATCTGTGGTGACCTAGAGGAAAGGAGATATGCTGCCACCCTAAAGGCATGCAGTTGGAATCCACCAGGCACTCCATGAGGGAATGAGGAGAGATCATAAGCTTAAATATTATAAATCAAATATTAAAGAGGCTGAGGAAAGCACAGTGCCTAATATATCACTTAAAACCAAATTCATTGCCATTTAGTCAATGCCTGGTCATAGTGAATTCCCATAAGTTACTAAAGTTGTAAATACTCTTTCTTTTCTTAAAAAATTATTTTATATTGGTTTACATAGAAAATGAATATATATTGTGTTTCATTCATATACATTGCATTTTAAACTTTTTCATTTATATTATGTTTCATAAGATCATTACTATACACTGCATTTTATCAAATCAAGCATCATTGATCTATGCCCACTATCACC